GCCTGCAGGAAAGCTTTACCAAACTGTTTAAACATTTTTCAGTTCAGTTAATTTTTCATATTATTATTAGATCTTACATCAAAGTGGATGACGATGTGTATTACTTTTATATTTTGTAAACCAGTTTCATAAAGGAAATTCTACACATCATTATCAAATTAAGAACAGGAAATGCATGTCACAACTCATAACACTAAAATTTTACAGGGAAGCAATCTGTAGTTTTATCAATATAAAGAGGATGTATAAGGATGTAACTGACATGCAGTAAAAATGAAGTGAGAAACTGCAATGCTGACAGAGATCTTTACATTCTCCTATCTATGTCTTCAATATACACAAGGTTCAATACATCTTAAAACTTTGCATACTGTGTAGTGTATTAGAATATAAATTAAGCAAACAAACAAACTATTAACACTATAAAAAAGACCGATAATGACCTCTTGAGGTTGAAACGCGTCTTTTTATAGTGTTAATAGTTTTTGTTTGCTTAATTTAAGGTTCAATACATATTTTGCAATAAAGCATCATAATATTCATTCTTGGCAAACTGGCTTAAGAAATGTCTTGTATGGAGTATTTTCTAAAATATGTACAATAATAATTCTGATCCAAGTTGGACAAAACTCTCATGGAGATCTACAAAATATATTCTAGTCATATGTAAGTACTAAGTAACACAAAAAGAGTTTCAGACCATAACTGTAGCTCTCAATAAGATAAATACTGTAAGTTATGCATATTTTCTTCATACAATATGTTAAATTTAAGAAAATGATTTTGAAATACCCCATGAGACTGTGAATAAAGTGTACTATCAATGTAGAAAGAGCATTTAATGTAACATAAATCTGATAACTGAATTCTGTAATAACAGTCTGAACAACCTGGCATAACAAAAAACCTAACACCCCAGGGGAGGTTCAGGCCAATAGAAGTTTTTGTCATGTTGAGGAGAGTGAATGTTAAATACATATAAGCTAGAAAGTAGCAGCATGAACAATCAATAAATTAACAAATATATTATAATAGATCAAATCTAAAAGTTTGTGACGATTCTGCATTTTTAAAATAAAAAGTTTTCTGGATGTTTTCTATCATCTAACAAAATCATAAAATTGCACGACGTTTCGGAGATGGGACTCTATCTCCGTCTTCAGGCATCCCTACTCAGTTGGGCCCAATTGATCCTCACACCTTTTCTGCCCTTCTACAATATCAGTCACAACTGTGGAAAATACACAAGATCTTTATTAATGATCTCAAACTATTCAGGTCCAGTGTCCTCAGCTGGCAGGGTATATTCTGTTGCGATGTGATGGGACATGATTTCCACCTTGTTGCATCGGACTTGAAATCTTCCTTCTCCGTGCTGCATGATGCAAAGTAGCTGCAGGTATGTTAAATGCTCTAGCTGCTGGTTTGATTCCCAAACGACCCTGACGTATCAGTTCCAAGGCATGCTGTGAAGTCAGGATTTTCTAAGTGACTAAAATCTGTCCATAGGTTCTGAGCAGTGTAATCTCATTTCAGCACTGCTTATATTGAAATTGCTTCTACAAATGAATCTGTTCTTTATTTTCAACTGTCCAGTTGCATTTAATAAAATCACACACACACACACACATATATATCAGCACTTGTAAATACCTACTTCTACACTTATTTGAAAATAACAGTAACAAAACAAGTGAAAATCATTATCAAATTATGAACAGGAAATGCATGTCACATTGAATTTAGAAACTTTGTCTCGTCACCTGCTTTCAAAAAATGTAAAAATTAAAATACATAAAACTATAATTTTACCTTTGACAATATGGAATAAGTTCCTAATGAACTGTGGTGGGCTGATGCAATTTTACTCCTAATGCAAAGAGAATGGCAAAATTTTAAAAATAAATTTGTAACAAGCTAAATGGATAATTGTCAATAGTTGGACATGATAAACCAAATTCAGCTGAGGAAGGCTAGATGCTATGGAATAATACTCAAAAGGATAAGATGAACAATATTTCTGAAATGACAAAATTACACCCCAACACAATCCTTTTGTAACTATTTTCTGAATTATAGCAAGAATTTTGATTCCACCAGTTGTTAAAAGTTCTTTGTTATACTTTAAAATGACAACATACTGAAATATTCATGAAGGAATTAAAGCCAAAAAAAAAATACTTGCTACAATTGAGTTCAGAAATGTGAATCAAAACTAAAATACTGAAAATAATTTGTGCATGTCATAATGAAGAAATATATTACCTATAAGCTATCACATCAGATGTGGCTAAAAATCAATTTCCTGCACTTTTATTAGTAGTACAGAAGCCATAGAAGCTGAAACTGCCTTTTTGCCATGAATGTGTTTTGTGTAAGTTTTGATGACAAATATCAAGTTGTTGAATGTCAGACAACTTTATTTGGTAATTTTTCAAATTTGCATTTGGTTGACAGTGTTAAGCATACTGAAATTCCTACAGCATAGCCATTATTAGCTGAACTTTGGTTTTGTGGTGTTGAAATTATAAATATGCACTTGAGCGTGGCCAAAATAAAAACTGGTACTGAAGGTAGGGATATCATGAGTCAATATGATAGGCAGTATTAAGAAAAGGGAATTTGGAACACTAGAACAGTATATGAGACTCCAGCTTATAATAATTAAGATCACCTGCATGTAAAATGGAAAAATACAAGCCTGTAGAAAATATAAACCATTTTTATCATGATCTTATTAGCATAACGGATGAACATAAATTTCAGTATGATACAAGATTATAAGCATATCTACAAGTTTCTCATGAAACTATTTCACTTAGTTTAATGTAGCAATTATATTGGCATAAATCTTACAAAATAAATGGACATCTTGTCCCATCATACTAAATTCATTTGAGCCCAGATTGAAACCTTATGTGTTCAAATAGCTTACCTGAAGATCCTCATTAGAGTACTGTCTCCCTATTGGCTTATGTCTTGCTGGTAGAGAAGGAACAGAGGCAATTGATATATTAGGTGGTGCTTCCAGTATCATCAATGTCTCACCATCCTCAGATGCTGACATATGTGTCACTTTTGCTGCCTCTTCATAGTTCTGAAATTTATACAAATTACTTTGTCTAATTAAATAGTATGACTAAAATAGTACAATGGACTAAAATTTTAGACAGGTAAGAGAGCAGACATTATAAAGCAGCTGGTCTCAAACAATAACTGAGTTAACAACAGAGGAATTTTTATGTGGCTGGTGCTCAAATAAAAGGGTGTGTACTTGTACAGAAATTGTAAATAGTAGCTGGGTATGAAACAGTACTCTGGCTTTTGAACAAAATTTGTAAACAACAGATAAGATCATGTGATTCATTTAATACAATTATCAACATAAAACATGCATTGTTGATGGACATGTACTCTGCACTTCTTATCAAAACAGCACTTTTACATCAGACTTTGTTAACACATTGCATGCTGACAGCCAAGCAACAGGTGAAACAAAATGTTGTATCTGTTAGAAGAACTGCTCTGGACTGTGTCCTACTTAACCTTATAAGGCCAAATGGTAATTATATGCATCACCTGTTCTAATGCTAGAAGACTCTGAATTTTGCCCACGCTATGTATTTACTATGGTGGCATACTATTCTCAGAATAAATAAAAGTTATTTTCTGTTTTTTTCTCTCTCTTTTCTAAGCATCCTTTAGGTATGGAAAGAAACCCTTCTAACCTTTCATTTCTCCAAAGAAAAACCTCCCATTTACTCTATTCTGTGTACCACAAAATTTTTAATATTTCTTAACACCCCCACTTTCACGGAGAAGCAGCAAACTTCACTAAACTTAACTGTTCACCTCTTCTTTTTCCCAGTCTGGTCACATAATCAACGCTTCCATTCAATACCTCCAGCTCCACTGCCCCTCATCACAAATCCTAGCATATCTAAGTATCCTTCACCTTTCCTCTCTTTCAGTCAAAAATCAGTATGTTATTTCTGTGTCCTTCCAGCTCATTCATTTTACTGTCCAACATCTGTTGCCTCTCTTCCCATTCTGCCTGCTTAATTTGCTTGTATAGCTGGCGCAGTAGTTTTTGGCCGATGGAGAAGCTAGCGGAGCTGGCGGACATGCCTACTCTGTGTACCTGAGGTGGCACAGTCAGTGTATTTCTTTTGTTTGGGCGCTCAGTCCGATAAGGTCCTCGATGCAGTCAGCATTATACTATCGCACAAGTGACTCGCTCCTAGCCTTCCCATTGAAGATTCCACCGGCCAAAAACTACTGCGCTAACTATAGTTAGTGATCACTTAATTTATTCCTTCAATTAGTTTCTCAAATTTTGGGCCTAAAAAACATTGCAGTTAAAACAAAGTTATAATGCTGTGGAAGGAAGAAATTTTAAGTTGTCAAGTATGAGAACAGGGAACTTGTTAAAATTGAGAATCCCTAAGGAGCAGATGATGAAAAATTAACATATCTTTAGTCCAGATGCCACACTTACCTCAGTTAACTGCCCCCCATCTTCCTGAACAGCTGCACCAATATCAGCATCTTCCTCTGTTTCTTCCTTTCTTTCCTCTGAGCTGCAGAAAAGCAGACATTTTCTTCAAGAACTTAATATAAGTATATGTGGCACATGAATTTGTTTCATACCAAAATTCCAAACAATGCAGATTATGGTTCACATTACTGCAAATTAGTGGGGTGAAGAAAGGTCAATAACTTTTTACACAATTAAAGCAGGCCTAGAGCTGTACCAGACATTTACCAACACTTAAACATGTAGCCTATAATATGACAATAATTACCAACTAATAACTTATGACATAGCGATGAAACCAATATATTCTTTGATCTGCCAGATGATGTTGGGAGGACTGTTTCTACATAAGCCAATGTTTTCATCTGAAAGCATCTCCTTAAACTTTGCATTCATTTGTTCAATCTGTCGCAGTTCTTGTTTATGTTCTCTGACACTTCACTGTTTCATAAACAAAGTCTTTCAATCCAGGACAAACGCAGCTGCATTCATCATTTTCACAGAAACTAGTCAATGAGATAAGATACTATCAGAAATTGTCTTGCTTCTGTGTTTCTTACGAGTAAAGCTTGGCAACACACCATGATCTTTTACGATATTTCTTGCTGTCTGAACCAGGTACTCAGTTATGAATTCAGAACTAATTTGATGAACATATTACTGCTGTGCAAGCAAACTGAATATTTCCCTGAAGCTGCTATCACTTCTAATATTGAGTTGAAGGCTTGAAATTAGAGTTTGGTATTTATCAGCTTGTTTCAAGTTTTCTGGTAAGTTGATTGATTCTTCAGTAATCTAAAAAAACAAAAAAATAAACAAGTATTTTTTGATCTGAAGCTTTCATGCTGACTAAGTAAAATGAATTCTTCTCGGGCTACCAGCCATGTCAGGTGGTTTAATGTTGTTTTCTCCATTAAACCACCTCACACGGCTGGTAGCCTAAGAAGAATTAATTAAGCATACAGTTTGTGGAGATGCTTCAAGTAACCTGTACCTATGATATTTTGAAGAATTTGACAGTGAACTGTCATTCAGTATTGGCAACATCTCTTGTGCTTCCTTTTGTGCATTCAAGTTGTCAGCAGGTTCTGATTCAGCTTGGTGGTCTGGTATATCACACTGTGAAGCCCTATCTACCTGCACACAGTTCACTGAAGATTCTGTCCATGAAATGCTGGACAATCCTAGGAAACATAAAATAAATCAATGTTCTGGAAATCCATTATACTTATTACAGATGAAATATCAAACAAACCCTACACATGATTATTCTGAAATTTACATTAATTTAAACTCTAACAATTTTCAACCAGTGAACTTTGGCTTCATCTTTTCTAGATCCAACTTCCCATCTTCTCCACAAGTCTAAAAACAAAGAGGATATATAGTGACTGTGCCAGGACACAGCCTTTGCACTTTACATAATTAATGCCTTAACTTAATTTGACTTACATGGCCAGGAATCCCATGTGTAAGACATCTTTTCTGTTCACCAGGATCTGTTGTTTTGTGTCTTTGTGTCATTTCAAATGAAAGTCAGGTTCATCATTGTGATTAGACTGAAGACACCAGTTACAAAAATTAAGTCTGAATACTAGATCACATGGCTTTAACTGTAATTTTTTAAGGCTGTAGTTGTTAACTTTACTGCAGTTCTTGTTGTCTCCTGGTGTTCCCATTTCTTGTGCCAGGCACACAAAAGGTTCATGGGGTTAATACTCAACTCCTCTGTGATCACTCAGTACTGACTTTTTGGTTTTCTGACTATTAACACACCAGACATTCTTACTTTATTGACACAATTAAACTCCTAGAGAACACTCCCTTCTGAATTTTCTGAGACACTTCTTAGCACAGTTCACATAAGAGTCACACAGAACACTCAGTGCTATAGTGTAAACTTATCCAAGTCAAACTCAAAGGGAGTCCTACACATGCAGGAAGAGTCTACCACTTCCTCTTATAACTACAGCTGACAGATCATTAAAGTTGGCAAGTGATGTGACCACTTACAGGGCAAAAACCATGCCCACAGCATAGCCATCAAATAATCTCAACCTACATGTCTACAAAATCTCCAACCACCATGAAATTGATACAATAATATCCTTGTGGCCTTCTGCAAGGGCTGTTGTCATAATGTCCTCTAAAATCTCAATACATTAACATGACTACATGAAATCTTTGCACGTAGACTTTACCTGTTACTTTAAGTGCTTCTGCAGTTTTCAGAACTCCTTGAATATTTTCTTGTGATACATACGCTTCTCCTTTATAAATAAAGTCTAAAATTGCTTTCATTTCCAGGTATTTTACATCTCTCATGAATATTATGGGGTGCGGTGTTGTATTAGATCGCAGAATGGAGTTCAAATATGAACTGAAAAAAATAAAGTTGGACAAAATTAATTTTTTGACATGGTGAAACTTTATATTCCACATAAAATAATGACAGCAGGCCAAAACATACCACATATAATAGTTAAAGTTATTACTTCACTATGGAAAACTTTACTGGTCGAGTAAATAAAACTGCTTGTCATGTGTCAGACAGACTAAAATTCTTATATATTTACTGAATACCCATAACCACTTCCATTACAAATAATATGACACAGCCTTAAGAAATACATAAAGTATATTATTACTAACATACATAATCAGCAGCAGCAGCAATAAGATATAATAAAAACACTGGTAGCAGAAATTAAACACCTAACATCTCAGATTCTTAATATCCACCACAGCAAACAATCTTTGACAAGTTCCACTATCTTCCTTCTTTCTTGCTTAAGATCCATTTTAATGTTATCCTCCCACCTCAATCTCAGTCTTCCAAGTGGCTATTTTCCTAAAGCCCTCCCAACCAAATCAGGTAAACAGTCCTTGTCTCTCATCCTAGCTACATTTTCAAACTACTAGATTTCACTGTCCTAACAATACTACATGGCATTTATTAATAATGGTCACATTCATAGTATGCTCCATGCTGCTATATCCCCACATGGTGTAGAGCTTGGCCACCAGGACAACTTTATCTTACACTTCAATTAATGTAATGTAAACAGTAGTACTCTCATAACAGTTTAGCAATGATCTGTCAAGGGACCTGAAATATGGCTAGTTGCTTGGCATTCTGGAAGAAACTTGTTTACATTCACAAGGTGGGGAGGGGTTAAAATTTATTTCCTGAGAGACACTAAATATGTTAGTAATTATGACTTTTACACTGTCCACATATAACACAATTCAAATGGCCAATTCACAATGTATACAGAAACAAGTAATTAGTAATGTATGCTTACCTACTGGCACACAGGACAATGCGGTGAGCTTTAAGTAGCCGTCCCTCTACAGCAATAGTTACATCCACAAAACTCTCGGTCTCAAGCAAATTATCCAAGGAACCCAAAAGCTCCAGATGACTATTCCATTTCAGCCACAGGTCTGACATACTGGGGCCAAATTCTTCTGCACTGAATGATTGTGACATGAATGTAAGAAAGGCCTAGTGCATTTGTAAGCTAGTTATTTAGTGTTAAATGAGATGTGGTAGGATGATAGTGAATCATATATTATAAGTGGTCATGACCTACTTTAAAGAATTAACCTAGCACTTTCCTGGAAGGTTGCTCACAGCAAGAATTCAAATAGCGCACCTACTAAATGTCAGCGAGGCACATTATTGATCTGATAACAGCCTCAGGAAGAGCACTGGCACTTGGCAAATTCAGGTTAAACAACATAATTGATCTATACGTCCCATACTTTGGCACTTGAGTAGCAAACAGACTTATGTAACAGACTCTTTCAAGGAAGGCAAAGCTTGAAGTGCACTAATCTATTACACAATTAATTACATTTTAAAAAACATAACCTTCATATGCCAAAAACTAAACTCAGCAAATATTAAAAATGAGTTTAATATACTGGAATTGAGCTACAAATAACCTTCCACCCATTACAAAAAGTCTGAATCATGATAAAAAGAAGTTTAAGCCAGCACTAAAAGAGCATCTCCTTCTACTCCATAGAATAATTAACCTCAATCAAAAATTCTCTACTATTATAAATACATGTATCATTGAGTATGCATTTTTGTGTAATTATTTTCGCAGTAATATTGTAGTTAACTGTAAATTACTGTCATAACTATGTAATAAACATTTGTACCAGAAACAAGTATTGTATTTGTGCTATGCAACGTTCCACATCTTTCACTCGAGCCTATGAAAGATATATGGAATGTAAATAAATTCTATTCTATTATACAGGATTTTGATGGACCAGTGGAGGCCAGACTTAAATTTCCTGGCATCTTAACTTCTATAGAAGATATTTTAAAATGATAGTCATGTTCATATATGCATGACATTTGCATTTTATAGTCATTTTATGCACTGAATGAAAAAGAGCTCAGAATATAATTTATTTAAATTTCACATTATTTTCATTTCTTGTGGGAGTCTGTCAAATTGGAACAATTACCAAGTACCCTTTCAACACGAAATTCCATCTTACTTTAATTTTTGGTTAATAACAACAATCTGTACTCGACCCAGGTCACATCAGTATTTAGTCTATTTGAATTTCTCGTGGCAGCAAACAGTACAAAAAAATCAACGGCCTTTAAATGTTAAACTAGTGGTTAGAACAGCTGCTTCGTATTCAGGAGTTCCCGGTTGGTCCAGAGGCCGGCTACCCTGGGATGTATCATGACTTTCCTCAGTTCCTAAAGAAAATGTTGGGGCAGTACCTGGCATTATACCACGAATGCTGCCTTCCACATATTTACGATTCATTACTTATCCATCCCATCATTCAACGCTAGTTTGAGCTACTAACAGCATCATTAAATGAACCACATATAAATATTAACATAAAACTAATGGTGGGTGCAATAGAAGGTACCTGACGAGTTTTCTAGCTTCTTCCTTGCAAGACTCACTTCGCTTGTTTTGGAAGTCTTTATATATTGAAATACTCTTTCTGCCTAGGTTATGTGAGGAACATAAAACAATGTCTATTATACTGATAATACCATAGATACTTCCGAAATTTATTATGCATAATTCAGTTTACTTATCTGTGTATATCACAGAATATTATTTATTATTATTCTGTGGAGTATAGAGCGTGTCCCACAAACAAAAAATCCATAACTACATGCTCTTGGGTTAATTTTGAGCAGAAAAGTTCAAATAAACATGGGCCAATTCTGCAACGGTTTGTCAAGAAAATGAGAATAAGCATTTTATTGCGTTTGTAACTTTTACATTATTTCCGTTTAATTTTAGGTTATATTATTGTTTAGTTTATACTACACTTTCAGTTACTCACGTTATTTATGTGACTTGAAATGGCCATCCTGATTGTCGATGCACAGTTGTGCCCTTCGAGTAATTGAAGTAACAGCCCTCTTGACAGTCATGATCATTTTTAATGCTAGCACTGCAATCCATTATTCAATTCAGCAGCTCAGCCCTACTGTTTGACTTAATGGCATACCCCAAGGATTTCATGTGACCCCAGAGAAAGTAGTCAAAAGATCTGGTGATCTTGCTGGTCAAGCAGTTGGACCACCTCGGCCAATCCAATGGTCTGGAAACTGCTGATTCAAAAATGCAGTCACCTGCCTACCAAAATGAGGAGGTGCACCATCTCGCTGCAGGAACTTATTTCTCAAACACAGCCTAGATATAGTGGCTGCGGAGCATTTTCTTGACAAGCCGTTACAAATCTGACCCACGTTTATTTGAACTTCTCAACTCAAAATGATCCCAAGAGCACGCAGTTAAGCTATGGACATTCTGTTGCAGGAAACCTGTATAATATGTAATTATTCCCAAATTATGCTTTGCCATGAGAACAGTCGTACCACTCATGACAATCGATACTTTAGAGCTAGTTTACTTTGCTTACTTCCACTCTGTAGTGTCATATGGATTAATCTTTTGAGGAAATTCAACAGACAGCAATAAAGTCTTTTACATGCAAAAGAAAATAATTAGAATAATGGCAGGTGTCAAAAGAAGGGTTTCTTGTAGAAAATTATTTCGTAAATTTAATATACTTCCACTTGCAAGTGAATTTATACTCAAAGATTTCTGTCTTCCCGTCATCAGGGCCCTGATGACGGAGGCAGTATGACCTCTGAAACGTTGGTTAACATCGACCAGTCTACACAGCGCAACAACCCAAAAGACAGAAATCCTCATACTCACCGCTGTGAAAACCTCAAATCTTATGAATTTATACTCTGCTTGCTATCATTTGTGGTGAACTTGATAAATTTGAAATAAATACAGATGTACATAATTTAAATACAAGATGTAAACAAGATCTCTATGTGCCTAATGCTAACCTTACTAAATATCAAAAAGGAGTGTACTATACAGGTATCAAGTTACTTAACAATCTTCCACCAACAATTAAAAGTCTAAATTATGATATAAAGATATTCAAGCCTGCATTGAAAAATTACCTCTTCACTCACTCTTTCTATTCTGTAGATGATTTCATCTCTGCTGAAAAGTTTTAAGCTTTATGTATATCTATAATATATATGTAAAGCAAGTTTTGTATTTCTATTTAAAGTTTACAATTCTGAGGTTTATGTATATTAATTTGTAAAATTATTTTTCATACTTGTATTGCAGAATCTGAAGTTTATGTACATTGATATGTGAAATACGTTATTGTATTTTTGTTGAAAGTTCTGAAGTTTATGTATATTGTATGAAGTTCTGAAATTTATGTATATTGTATGAAATGACATGTTCTACATCCTTTGATTGAGTCCTAAGAAGGATCTATGGAATGTAAATAAACTCTACTCCAGTACAGATTGTGCGTATTTAAATTGAACGGCACATACACCCCCTTCATGCGCACACAAGTGATCACTGATACTACCAAAACCAAGTGATTGTTAAATCTGGGCTATTCACGCTACGCTAGTCGCATGTGCAATGTTCATTTGCGAAACAAATTTCAGAGTCGGGTTCAGTGTCTCTTAAACTGTACGAAGTGATCCAGTATGCTTAGCTGTCATTTCTCCATCTGCATTGTGATTTATTTCTTTTGATTTTCTGACTAGAGGAACGTACCCTTCGGCCATTTGCCGTGATCTATTTACATTCTTTACCGTTGCTTACGAGTGTTAGTCGTTTACTTCATGGATTCAATTTTTGGTTGTTCTCCATGCTGTATTCTTTAATCGGCTGGGCTAGAGACTTACGTGATGTATGTTTGTCCATGTATACCGTAGGTGCAGTTTTCTTTTGGGTCGCAATACTGTTTAATGACACAGATCTTGTGGTGAAACCCAAGTAATGATAATCACGTCAGAATATGTCTGTAGGTAGTTGTTTAAAGACAATCACTATGAAGCATTTTTCATTTCCACATTTCACATGGTCATTTATTGAGATTTTATCTCATCATAAGACCATTTGCAATGTATTTTGTTTGTTCACTGTGAAGTTATTTTCAGTTGCCCATTTGGTGAACATGTAAAATGCTGCTTGCACCTCATCTTTGCTCCCCATGTCATCTGCACACCTATCTTCTTGTCAAGATTCTTCAATACTTGTGCCACATTTGGCATTGCTACACAGAACAGCATGGGGCTCAGAGCATCACCCTGCAGTACCCCATTTGTTTGATGTCTTTTGAGTCGTCATATAGTTTGATATTGTTGTACGTGTAGGAACTGTGAGACTGTAAAACACTTGCCTTCCCCATTGCAACAGAGAATATAACTTTCACTGAAATTAAAGGCAAAGATTTTTGCATGTACATAGATGGGGTGATAAGGTAAAGCTTCACATATTCTTAACCACAGCACTATAAGCTGACAATTGTATGGCTGGGGAAAGACACCCTCACATCCACAGGACAAGTTTCATGAGTCCCAGATTTGGTCTGGATATGTTGACCAAGAGGAAGATTACTGCAATTCCAGGAACCAGTTATCTAGTATGTAGCCAGGACCTCCATAATGAACAAAATCTATGCCAGTCACTACACAGCAGAGCACAGAACAGGAATATGTTACTTAATGTAACCTAATAGTTCAATGGTTAGAAAATTTATATGATCAACACAAAGTTAACAAGAGTGCAGGGGTAAACTTCAAAAGCTAATTAAAATACATATACAGAATCATACATTATTTATGGAGACAGTATGTTCATCTGAGATGCTGGAAACCACCTACAGGGCTACATGTTGTCACAACCCAAAAGAAAATTCTAATTACTGTGAGTACCTCAAATCTCAGAAGTAGAAAATACACTTTTAAGTGTTACTGTATGTTGGTATCTGACAGGTGACTGATGGTGACCTGAAGTGGTAGCTGAACACTTGTCAATATACAGAAAATCAAAAATCAACTGTAAAAGCCTGCAGCCTTTGATCATCTTCTGTTTCTCTTAGCTTATCAGAAGAATTTGTTCTGAAATGCTCTTTGTATTCTGGGAATAACATAGAACAAGACCTAATGGGAAGTAACAGCATTCTTTCGGAAGTTACATTTAATATTTTTCTATTTTCACAAGTTATGATATAATCTATATTACCATCATCACATCATATACATATATGTCATGTATGTAGAATGACCTTATTGCAATAGACTCATTAAAATACTTTCCATCGGTTGAACCGTTCCAGGAAGATGAAGTAATGTGTAGACGCCAATACCGTTCACAGTGATATCGCGAGTGTTCCGGGAATGGTCCAAAATGTAGTTGGTGAAAAGTTCAATAACACTGAGAAGTCTCATTCTGAGTCTATGCAATGCAATACCAGACTGTTTTTGAGACTTTCCACCATTTTGGTTGGACATAATGACGACAGAAAACATAGCACATTCAATTTTATTATAGCTTAATATAACGTTAGCTAGTATAATGCAATGCAACAGCAACACGATACTTGGTCAAATTTAAACACACAGCTTCACCAATCCGCCAGACATGTGTACTGTTCAAGAGGTGAGCACCGGAATAACAACTCGTGAACAACTGAGCCCCATACATCCCCGGCAGATTAGGAACTGGGAGACTGGAAGTCCACTTCCGGTGAGGAGCCAGACTCCCATACAATTTTGTATTTTTTTAGCACTTTAAAACTTGAAATGAATATGAGAGAACAGACATGAATGGTTTGACATCCAGCATGGGGGGAGTCTACAGAATAGGGTACTGACTAGATGCGAGCACACGACTACCAAGCGCCAAAGTGGCATCAGCCGACTGCAGCTGTTGCTTGGTCCTGCCAGATCCTGGCACTTGCTATCAAGGGATGCTTGCCGCTTTACGACCAACATCTAGCGGAACACTTCTCAGTGACTATCACTTGCACTCTCAATTCCAAAAATAAGTATCTAAGCAGTCCTTCCCATTATTGGGATGATACCAACCACTCACTAACTGACTTTAATGACACAACCATTTTGATTTATATCATTCTTTTCTTGCAGCTGACAATACATACTATTGCCTGCACCTTTTAACTCACCACAAATTCAAACTTTGTAAGAACTTCCCAATAAACATTCTCTGAACGACTTAAATAGATGCCTTACGTCCTTGTATTCCCTACAAGAGCATGTGCACAAAGAAACTGGGTGGATTAATATGTGATATACTCTGATTGTAATATTGAGATTCCCACGATACTGAGCTAAGGGAGCACAGCATAAAACTCTCTGCTCAGATGGCGTGAACCACCAGGGAGCTGTTTCTCTTTTGTTTCGGCAACTGCGACATTGTAGTTGTCCATTTTCAGCTACAATAGATGTGCTCATTTATCTTCGTGGAATGTTTTGATTACAGAAATACATTTCTGTAGCTGGAACTGTGCCACTATTCTGAACTCAAGAGACACGGTTCTAGCTTACTTTTGTCATTACCAGGTTGTACATACATTCCTTATGTAGACTTCATGTTTGGAATAAAGTGTCTGAATGTGAATTGGTGACATAAATAGTCACCAATAAACACACAATATTAATCATAAGGCCGAACAAAGTTTGATC